TCATCCCTATCACAACGCAGATCAGTTGCAGTGCGAAAGGTACGGTGAAGGTGCTCTCGAGAATGTGTGCGAACCTGACGATGCAAATGCGATCAGCCACTCCTGCTTTGTCCCCGTCCTTTTCAAAGGTTGCGCCAACGTTTTCTTTTCCGTTACTCACTTTAAAGCTTCGCGATGATTGTGCACGAAGAAAACGACTTTCTTATACATGTCGTCCGCACCAGTCGTCATGTTCCCCGCAGTTTTGCCATAATTACAGAATAAATATTCGAAACGTAATCTGCAAACGATTCGTGAATATTGGAATAGAAAGAATCCTCGAACTGATACAAATAATCTTAATTCGAAGGTATCGTTCTTTCTATCCAATATTTCGTCTTTTCAATTCATCAAAATTATCCTTGAATAACGTGAATGTATTCTTAGTGGAACTATATAGAACTTCTTTACGTAAGAGTAAGTTTTATCTTCGTATAAGACTATATATTCTTGCTTATATAGGAGAACATGAATCTTAAATTCACATGATTTTTCTTTCTATATATTAGGTGCTTGAATTAATTCTCGCTGTTGACTAATAGAGGTCAGTAGTTGGGTTACATGGTCGAAAGTGACTGTTGATGTATACGAAAATACTGTCAATAGGCTTTAATAATCAGAATGTGATTGAAGGCTTTAATAATTAGATCGTTCTGCAAAAAACACCATTTTTTTATTGCATTGAAGACGCATTTGTGGAAAGCATTACTTTTCGAATTGCGACTGACGACGAAAAATGGATTCGTTACGACAATCCTAAGCGCAAGAAATCGTGGATGCGTTCCGGAGAATGATCAACATCAAAGCCAAAACAGGATATTCATGGAAAGAAGGCCATACTGTGCATTTGGTGGGATCAAGTCGGTAGTGTATTATGAGCTGCAGCAACGGAATCAAACCATCAATGCTGAACGCTACCGATGACAATTACTCAATTTGAATCGAGCACTCAAAGAAAAACGCCCGCAAAATTATTCTTCTTTATGACAATGCTAGACCACATGTTGCAACACCAGTGAAGGAAATCCTGGAGACACTTCTGAACAGCATTTCAGTTCTTTCGAAAATGTCAAAATACGGCTCGATGATTGGATCGGAAAAACCTGAATTTTTCTACCGCGGAATCCATGTGTTACCCGAAAAAGTGGGAAAAGTTTGTAGCTTCCGAAGGACAATACTTGGCATAAGATATAACGTTCTTTTGAAATAAACACGAGTTTTGGTAGCAAAAAACAGGGAGAATTAACTCAAGCACCTAATATATTGTGTGTATTATAAGTTTATCGCAGAATTGACGTCTTACGCGACCATTGCGAACTTGCTGCAAATGTGTTCGACATAAGTCACGAACAGGCAATCGTGGGCGACTATTCCGGCCATAATTATCTCCCAGGCCACGAGAGAATGGCAAAAAATGTAAATGAAGTATCTCTTATTGTCCACAAAGTAGTATCCGGGATACGGCATCAATACGGGACGGGATTCATTGAAAGGCCATGCAATATCGAGTATGGGCGGTACGATCGATACCGACATAAACACACACACAGCCGTGAAGCAATATACTGCAAAATGCAAAGCGCTTTATGAAGAAATTCGGCAAGAATGCCGGCCCTCTGCGAGCCGGAATAAATAACGTCGAATCCTCACTCGAGTATATCAAGGAAAATCGTCTGCAGTACTCGGCGTACGACTTCATGACTTCATACTCTTCGGCGGTCTCCAGTTGTTCCCAGTCGTTAAACAGGTGTTTGGTGAAATGTTTAATCTGAAAAAGCGTCGATCGATGGCACACCTTATCAGCGATTTAACAAAATGACGAGAGACGACCTCGCACACAAACGCGCAAATATTTCGTTACTTACCGTTAGCTGTAATTATCATAAGAAAAAGTCTTAATTGCTACAAATGAATAAGGACCAGTTGAAAACTCGGTGACAAGAAATAAAAACTCGGTAACAAGAATAATATCTCTGTCGACTGAAAATACTCATGTGAACAGTCAGCTGCATTAAGAGGGCGGTATTCATGGTCCGATCTTATATTTAAAACCGTCTTAAGTTCATTTTCAGATGCTGTACGGCTCACTTCATTGGCTACAAAACATCTGAAGATGAACTTGATACGGGCTTAAATATAAGATCTAATTATATACATCAGTAACTTAAACTCGGCCGAGATATCTAAAAGCAATTGACTGAGTGAAAATCTCCTACAAAAATCCTCCTGTTCCTACACTGAGAGAAAACATTTCCTACTTCTTAATTAATTCCTCTCTCAGTTTACTTTGTACAGAGTATTCGTCTGGTCCCCCAGCAACGGTAAATTCTGTTACACCAACGGAATCGTCTTTCTGTGCGTCGAAAAATTATATAGTCGAATTACTATTATCATATAAAGATCATAATTGTCATACAAGTCATCGTGCAGAGATAGTTAATAACAATTATTATTATCAAAGAATATATATATATATATATATATATATATATATTTCTTTTTGCTCAAAGAACGATTTCATTGAGGTCGAATACGATGCGATGCGCCGTATCGCGAAGCGTACTTTACGAATGTTCAAGTGAAACGTGTACACTTTCACCACAGCCACGCTGGTCAAGAGACACGACGTCATCGACTCAAAGATACACTGCAGGTCCTTCTTGCAGGTGAACTGATGCGCTATCTGGAAATATAACGAATCTCTCGCGACAAGATTTCCGGCGATCACGCTATTTCGCGCAGTTTTACCTGCGGCACGAATATGGTCAATAGCGTCACGGACAGCAGAGCAGTGCGGAGGAATCTCGACTTCGGTTCCAGGTACGGC